TGATGAGTGCCTGACCGTTGATGATCGCGGGTGAGCAGCAGGGAATGCCAATATCGAGTGGAAAAACGGGTCGAACAGTAGGGCTCGATCTCTCTCGCTGCTCGTCGGAAACCGACGGAGCCACTGATTGACTGAGTAAATCGTTCGTTGGACCGTTCTCGGACTCTTTCGATCTCTGGTAGATTGAGATTGATGACTTTATGACATTCTGGTAAAGCAGTCACCGCAAGAACGGAGCGTCGTCGGTGGCGACAGTTACTTGGCTTGCTGGTTGGCTGGTTCGATCCCCCGATCGCTCTTCCTTCGGCGAAGCCGCAAAGGCATCATCGCTTCCACGTTTTCCATCTTCGCTTCTACTCCGATCGCAGTGATTACGTGTGAAGCTACCAGGCAAGATGCCTGGATCGAGCGTATTTCGTGGTTGATTAATGCCGTCGATGCGTTATCATCACGCAGTTTCGTCTCACACAGTCATCCGGTGCGTCATGGGAGGCTTCGCGAGATGATTGTTTCATTGATCGATGGAGTGACTGATGGATCGATGGATGCGGGCAAGGAGAGGAGTCGGCTCAGTGAACCCAGAGAGAAGAATCCGACTCGCAGATTCGAAGAAATAGTCCCACGTATCTTCTTGCTCAGAATTCCTCGAGGGATAATCAGAAACCAGACTTCTCTGAAAACGTGCTGCCCATGATTCGATTGGAAGCCCTCGGCTCAGCCGCGAGACTGTCGATCGATGCCGGAGTCTTCCCCGGATGACCTCTGAAGAAATGATCTCCCACTATGTCGCGCGTCGGGTTTCGGGATCTGAGATTTCGATCCAGTTCTGTCGAGCCGTATGAACTGACTTTTCCCTCTTGTCGTCTCCCAACGCCAACGTTCCTCATTATCGTCTGGCGGGGGTCCACATCCTCTCGGACTAGCGGGCGCTCCCAGAGCACTAGCAATGGGATGTGAAGTTCACGGATGCGCGAGGACATGTCCTCCCGGCGAGCGAACCACCTAGTGATCGAGCGATCAATCAGTGGACAAAATGACTATGAATCGATACCTCATCATCACCGCGGAAGCACTGATTGGTTCATCATTCATCACAGACCTTCATTTCATTCGGCTTTTCTTAGGGGATGGGAATGAGACCACGTTTTGCAGACTGTGCCAAGGCGTCTCACGGTGTTTCGGTTCATAGAGCCTGACAATGCTTGACTCGTCGAAAGAACCAATCTCTTCCCTCCTCCGATCGCTCGTGATCGAGCAGAGTCAATGAATACTCCATAGGTCCAGTCAGATCGGAATCTGGCTCAAGTCAGTCCAGGATGAGGTGCTCCTCGAATTTCATTCTATACAGATAATTAATGATTGATGATCCGCCTATTCGAGTACTTTGGCTGTCCGATGGAGGAGATTATAATAATCCTAATTAATTGAGTCGTCCGTCGAGCGCTTGACCGATGGAGGTCGCATTATGGCTTGTTCGATCCAACCCGGTCAGCCTGGCGATTCAACTCTTATTCGAGTTCAAGATCGACCGCTGAAGCTCGAAAGGAGACGATCGAACGAGTTGCCAAGCAGGTCGCATGCCTGCTCGCGTCTCGCCTATCAATCTGACTGGGCCCAGCTTCGGTGGATGGCTGCGGACTGGAGAACGACATCAATTAATTTTGAGAAATATTGCTTTGCTCAACACTACTGCCGCTCGCCGTAGTTGCTCAATTGTGCGGGGATGGTCTAAATTGGATGTCCAGAATGATTAACGACGACTCCGTCCGAGTTATTAGTGGGCCTGTTGATGTTGTTGTTGATGTTCTTGTTCTTGGTGCCGCTGCTTCCACGGCTGTTGTTGATGTTGTCGTTGGAGGCGGCGGCAGGAGCAACAGCAGCTCGAACGCCAAACACACCGTCAGTAATTCAAACGATGGAAGAAATCATCCATGTATTGCTGTATGCTATTAAACGAGAGGATCAATCTTTCAGCTCTGTGGGTCGTGAGTGCACGCCATCTGCCGTTTGAGATGGATCTTTCAGCGAGAGAGATATTCTGCGTGCTTGTCCGTCCGTCCGCCCGCCCGTTGTCTCATGCTTCTTCTGAGTTGCCTACTTCGTTGCCCACTCTGTTTTTTCGTTGTTGGCTCTGATGACTATGTTACGTCATGCTTGCCTATTCCTTGTCGATTCGTTCTCGGGGCGCTCGAATCGATCATCTCTCTGAGCGCAAATTTCTCCTATCGAGCAAAGAGAGCTTCCTCTGCAGAACTCCGAAGCTTAGGGTAACGAGTTTATTCTTGAAAACAATCCTGACTGCCGTCAGCAGAGGAAATAATTATCCAAGCTGCGATACCGCCGTTTCCTAAAATCATGATTTTGATCCGCCTCGTTTTGCGCCGAGTCAAAACGATAGCTCCTAGTTCCTGGTCGCATTTCCTCAGCGTCTGCGTTCGGAATCTCGCCGTCTCCCGATAGACTGAACCATTGAAACCTCAGCTCCTCGCGACAGTGCGACATATCCGTCAGACACTGGCTCGACGCGATCTCTTGTGGTGAGTGGAGTCCGGTGAGCTTCTACGAGTCGTTGATGCACCTCCGGATTGTGATCGAGTCCTCGTTGGTTAGAGTGGACGTCCAACGAGAATTCGGAAAAAATTGGCGTCCGACACAAGTCATCTCACTCGGGAGTCTTCTCTATTTCTATCAGACCTAATCACCAATCGTGTTCCGTCTGATTGATCGCCTGATCGATCTATCCTCCGATCCGACTATGTACCGCTTCCCCGGTCGACTAGATCGATCCGTCAGCCCGTCGTGGCTGGCATGATCCGACGATCGATCGTTCGTTCGTTCGGTCGGTCGCTCAATCGATAGCCCGATGAATCGATGAGGGATTCTTTCTGCGTGAACCTACATCAGATGACGCTTTAGGGTCCCATTTTTCCACATTAATTTATGATCGTTGTGATCATCAGGATCCCGCACAATAACTCAAGCGTGGAATTATCTCGGTAGAGGCAATCGATTAATGAGAATAGATAGAAATTATCTATCAATATACGGCTGCGGCTCTCGCTGAAAAAGCTCGTGAATGGCGTTCAAGCGCCGTGCTGGTCGTGCCCGTGTTGCTGGGGCCGGACTTGGTGCTGGTATCAAAAGTGGACGAAAGGTCAAAACTTATTTAAATGCTAATGTAAGTTTGGTACGGTTCCGCTCTCCTCTACCGCCTCCAGCTTCCATATTCTCTTTGATTAGAATCATATACTTTGATTCTTCCCGATCCCGCTGGCCCGTGCGTCCGCGTAGCTCCCATCAATCCTAAACCGATTGATGAGACTACTTCCACAATGGAAGGTAATAAAACTCAGGTAAGCAAAAGCGATTTTCTAAGATCCCTGCTTGACGCAATGAATGCCGTGCCAAAGATTCGTGTGTTCGGAATCTCCGGGTCGGGCTTATTTATGGTAATCGTATCACTCATCGTAAGAATCTTGCGATACGAAATTCCCATCCCGTCCATCTCGGTTCCGTCCGAGTTCACAATTCCGTCGGCTTCACTGTGAGAAGCAAGATCAATCCAGGTGTTGCGATTGATGAACATGTTGACCGACACTGGGAGAGATCGCTCGATCGAGTGATTGGGAAAAACTGTGCTTTGCTTCATAGTGATGAAGCGACCCGCGTGGGGATTCATGAGTCGCTTGTCTGACGCAAAGAGTCGATCCGTCTCACAACAAGCCTCCAACGCAAGAGTGATTAATGCTGCAACGGAGAAGATCCGAATATTTATCCAATTTTTCTTCTCCATTCGAGCTTTCGCCCGTAAGTGCACTCGGTTTTCGTATTTTCTCAACGAAATTCTCGACATTGACAGAAGACGTACACGAAGATCAATTTCTACGCTTAATTTCATTTCCGAATCTTGGCGAACCGCTCGCAGTCCGAATTTCCCCGTGAACTCTCACTAGAAGAGAGAACGCGAGATAAATCCACGCTTTTCTGCTTCTCCTTCCGGTACACCGAGAATCGGAGCGAACATTCAATGATCTCCTCCAGGTCGAAATTTTCTATCTTCTTAAGTCTGTAGGTCCGATCGAGATCGGTTTACGAAAAGAGAGCAGACAGACGGATGAGAACCACCGCTGCTGCTCCTACCGCCGCCGGTGCCGCCACCAGTTAGTGAAAATAGGCAACAAACGTGTTAATAATGCCAGTCAAATTATGGTCATAAATTTGCTTCTCGTGCTGTTGTTGTCAGCTGGGCAGGCGGGCCGGTCGGCAACAAACATTTCTCCGATGCTTCACTCCTCATCGGTGTTCTCGTCGTCTATCACGCACACTCTGCGTTTCGGATCCGTGGATTTTTCGTGGAGTGACGGAAATTGATGACTTCGTGAGCTCGTAAGCGGTAATTGTTGCATGAGAAGAAACGTGTTCAGCCTCACCAGGCATCGGACATCGCGTTTCTCCTTCTCTGCGGTGGTGCCGGCGAAAGTGATCCGGCCGGCAACGATCTGTTGGTCTTGCGTCCTGCTCGAGACGCATTGACATGAAATATGCGTCAATTAATGTGTTTACAACCCTCATTATTGATTATAGAAACGACCGCGTTCGCAAATTACCGTCGGAGCCATTCTTCGATTTCTAATTTCATCTAAGATTTATGGCCCGACGACGCGGCACAGCACGCGGACTTTTCCCTCACCCACCCGATATCTGCTCAGCCTACGAACAACACGTGGTGCTACGAGACACCGAGTCGGTATCGCTCCGCGGGAACCTCCCAGGGAACGCTCTCGAACCGACCGTAATATGCGGGATCCTTCAGGACCTGCTGCATCTAAGTATCTGTCCTGGGGAGGGAATCGTTTTGGGAACGAGCTCCGAGAGCATGCCTTGCCGAGACTCACTCAGATTCAGTCAGGCGGGTAGACGCCTCAAGGATAAGACATCGGCTCTACGAGCGGTGTGAGTCCCAACTCTATCGATAGGAGTTGCCACCAATCAGCGAAAGAATGACTGTCGCGCAGCCCGACTCCGGATTCAGGCTCGGTCTCAAATCGTCCGCAGCTCCGAGAAGTCTCAGCCCTTCATTGAGTGCTGTTTTGATCAACTCGTCGGAACCTGCTGCTTCGCGGATTCGTACTATTCTCATCACCGGTGCGAACAGAGGCATCGGTTATGAAACCGCAAAGCAGCTCGCCCTACGCGGTATCCGGCTCATTCTGGCGTGCCGGAACACCGAGCGTGCCGAAGCCGCCGTGAGGAGCTTGGTCGAAGAAACGGGAAACCGGGAAATAAGCTTCCGACACGTTGACCTCGCGTGTTTGAAATCCGTCGACAGATGTGCCGTGGATCTACTGAACTCAGAAACGCATCTGAACGCTGTGATACTCAACGCTGGAATGTTCTCGTCTGAACGACGAGTGAGCTCCGATGGATACGAGTTGCAGTTCGCGTCAAACTATTTGGGTCATTTCCATCTAGCAAACAGCCTCGTGCCTCTACTGAGGTTCGGAGCGCCGTCCAGGATTATCGTTGTCGCCTCCGAGAGCCACCGGCTCATCGACCAGACCTTCCTCAACGACATCCAGATGGAACACGGGTATAAAAGGTGTCAAGCGTTCGCCCGGTCCAAACTCTGTGAAATCATCCTGGCACGAGAGATGGCCAAGCGAGTCCGTAGCAAGCGGATTGTTGTCAACGCCCTGCATCCTGGCATGGTTCCTACAGACCTGTTTCGAGGGACCTGGATGCGAACTCTTGCGAAATTATTTGGAACTTCTGCGGAAAGAGCGGCGATATCCGCGGTGTACCTTGCTGTCGACGACAGTGTCGCTGACGTCACCGGGGCTTATTTCGTCAAGCGACGAATTACTCGGCCGAGTCCGGAAGCCGAAAACGACGATATCGGGAGTCAGCTGTGGACGATGAGCGAAGAACTCGTCCATCGAGCGCTTTCGGAGTGAATCTCGGCAGCCGGGAACCATGAACCCATCATTCCAGATTGCGAGCCTCCACAGCCCAGGAATCCATGGATGCTCCCCTCCTCGCTCGATCTGACGAGGTTATCCAAGTTATCCTCTTCGCGTCACGCATACGCTCATGACTCCCGTGAACGGTTCGCGGAACAGGCATCTGACACAATCTAGCTGACAAGCGATGGAATTCGGATAATAATTGTGTCCCTCTCGTCGTCTGCTTTCACCGTCCACGCGACAAGTCACGCTGCTGCACGCGAAGTTAGACTGGAAGTTGAGCTGTTCAAGGTGATCGCCGGTCGGTCGGAGCGAGAGCAGAATATCGACGGGTGGGACCCTCCTAGTCATTTGCGGTCTGGAAGTATCTCGACACGCCATCAGTCCGCCGCGCCCGAATCTCTGCAATCAGCTCCGCGGCGACGATTGACATCAGCAGGAACGTGCCTCGCGTTCGGATCCAGTTCGGTTTCATCGATTGGAAGTGTCTCCCCTAGTGTTTACTAATTTGTGGTCGGTCGTTAGTGGAGCCGCGCTCAACTCGTACATGGTGCCATTATACCGGGTCACTTCGTCCCACAGACCGACACGGCACTCGGCGCGTATTAACGTCGGCAGAAAATCCGGCCAGCCTTGAACTTGGTTCACGACCGCAAATCGGGTCGCTGGGTCGCGTCGTCTGCTACAACGCCACGCGCAGGCGCTGTAAGTCATCATCCTGTTGAACGGACGACTGGCAGCAGCTGCGAACGGTGCTGCTGTTTTGGGGGTGTCTCCCGGCCGCTGTTGTTCTCGTGTGTTTGTTCCGTGTGGTGTGACGCTGGCCCGTCGTCGTCAGCTGATTCTCGGCCCGACCGCAGTTTACAGCTGGTTGAACGCAGTTCCTCGAGGATCGCCATGGAGGAACTCAGCGACCTCACCGGCAAAACGGTTCTGATAACCGGTGGAAACACCGGCATCGGCTACTGTACGGCACACGCCCTTCTGAAGCGGGGCGCTCGCGTCATCCTTGGATGTCGGAGCGACGAAAAAGCCTCCGAGGCGGTTCGCAGACTCCGAGAAGAGATACCCAGTGCTGCCGTCGAGTTCGAACTCGTCGACCTGTCGTCGCTGAGGTCGGTGCAAGACTTCGGTGACGAAATCATCCGACAGGAAGAGCGGTTGGACGTTCTGATTCTGAATGGCGGAGCCATGGCAACCGACAGCCGACAGAGAACGCGAGAAGGCTTCGAACGGACATTCGCGACAAATTATCTCGGACATTTTCACCTCACTAATCTTCTGCTACCACTATTGGAGAAAAGTGCACCGAGCAGGATCATCGCAGTGTCGTCTGCCGCTCACAAAATGGCATCAAGCAATTTCCTCGATGATCTACAGCTGGATAAGAACAGCTACGGAAAGTGAGTGTTCAGGTTCCCTCAGAACGGAAGTTTTTCCCTTCGTTTTCGTGAGCTCCATCGTTTGCTGTGCTTTCCGCCTCTGCTTCGTTGCGTTTTGATCTGATAAGCATCTTGAACCGTTCAATCGAGTGGTCGGAGGGTTGAATGAAGCACTCGACTTGAATTATACTTAGAAATGACTGCGCATGACCGCATCGCTTGAGATGAAAACAATTCTGATGCCTTCCCGCTTCCGTGGCTGAAGCTAAGGACGCCCATGACGTCACGCGGTCTCGGCCGCCGCACTTTGCGACATGTGAGAGTTCTGGCTGAGAGAGCATCGGTGCTGACTAGGAATTGAGATGAGGGGGGGGGGGTATAACCTCGATTGTTTTGATGGAAGGAGTGAATTAGCTCCGGGCCCGAGCTGATCCGACAAGTGTCTGAATTTTCAATCTCAATATCTCTCCGTCGCAATCGAGGAATTTCCTCGAAAGTGGGGCCGCTTCCATAGAATCAGCTGTGTCAACTTGAACCAATGAAACCGTGATTTGAGTTGCAGGTTCCGAGCGTATTGCCAGAGCAAGATGTGCCAGGTCACGCACTGCTGCGAGTTGGCTAGACGACTCAAGAGCAAAAATGTCACTGCCAATAGCCTCCATCCCGGTGTGATCGCAAGTGAATTCTTCAGAGGCCGATGGTATGAAAGCATTTTGAAATGGGTTGCGCGTAGCCCCGAAAAAGGCGCTGCTACTTCCATCTACCTGGCCACCTCAGACGACGTCAAAGACGTGACTGGAGCCTATTTCACAAATTGCAAGCAGGTTTCTTCGCATCGCATTGCCAACGATCGGGAAATCGGGGCCAAGTTGTGGAGTCTTTCCGAGGAATTCGTTAAAAAAGCGCTCGGTAGTTGAGTGTGCATCTCGATGATCGAAATATTGATGACCGCGAAATATATATTCGGAGGAACTTTGGTCATCTGCGCAGTCGACGACATTCCAGAATCATGTCTCGAGCGACTACGCCGCGCCGTGTTCAACCACCCTCGTCTTGTAGTACGCGACGAGAGGATTTTTCCCTCAAGCTGAGCGTTCAGTGGCTCTTATCGGCAGATAACTTTTTTTTATATATTCTGCGAGACGCCACCTTCATTCCGGAATGATAGATCCATATTTATCGGAAGAAGTTGTACTATACACACAGAGGAATGGTATACCACAAACCTCGAAACCCTAAGATTTTCTGTCCCCCATGTTTTTTTTGTTGTTCGTTCTCTCGGTCCTCAGTTTGATCGCAGCGCTGCCGCACACGTATCCTCGCCTCTTCATCGAACATTGTCGTCGTAGTGAGAGTGGCTTGACCTAATGCATGTTGAATGGACAATTTATTGATTGCGTTCAACACCACGCTCGACCATTCGCTTTCATTTTTTGTTGGTAAGAGTTGTTGTTGTCTCTCCCTCTTGTTATTCAGTGAGTATCCGCTCTCCGGATCGAGCGATACATGTTTGCAAATGTAACCCACACAATACAAGCTTTCGAAATGTGATTTCCTCTTCACCTTTACAATCATTCCAGTATCGCAAAAGAGCCCACTGCGAGAACAGTGCTCGATACAATTGTACATAAATACAGCTCTTTTCTGAAATAAATGGCGCATTGAACAATTCTTGGATCTGAGTGCGTTTTCGATATTCTGATCTCCGTCAGGGCTTTTTTCCAGTCGGGAACTCCGCCTGCTAGGCTGCTGGCAAACCGCCGACGTGACGGCGGTGGCGACTTCGTATCTACTGGGAGCGCATACAGCGGGAACAGATTCGTATAGGGGAAACCACGATTTGATCATGCCGAGCATCAGCTGCAGGAAGTGTAGCTCGTCCTTGCTCGCGCTGGCCGACTCGCTAACCCGGTTGTCATCAGGACGTAGTTAAACTTATCTAAGGGCCACAGAACAGCCTCGTGAAGAGTACGGTTGCAGCTTCCCGCCTCCCCCGCCATCCCTCGCCCACTCCCAGACTGCAGCAACGTTGCGGCCCGGTGGTCAATGTATAGATAGCCTCAGCGAGCGCCTGGGCGGCTCCATGGGCTGGTCTGCGCAGCAAGCTGTTGCTCAGATAGTAGGCACTGGCGCAAACTCGAACCGTTATAATCGCTTTCGCCGTTGCAAGCAAGCCTTCATTGTCGACATTGTTGTTGTCGGCGTCGCAGAGTGGCCACGTCGTTGCTGTTCATGTGTCGGCGAGGCCCCCAAGCTTCAAGGACCGAAAAGATAGTCCGGAGGACACTTTCACGACCCGACGGACGAAATAAAATTTTAAAGCCCAGAAGACCAGAGGACGCTCGTCGAGCGGCGACCGGTGGACGGACGGGGCGACTCGTTGCAGGCTATTCGCGCAGAGCGGAAACGCTGAGATCGCCTGCGTTCCGGGAACGTTTCTAATAGTATCGCTCCCGTGCGCAGTTCCATACTCGTTTGAGGGTACTCCGGTGTTCGCTCGTTTTTTCTGAACCGTCAGCTCGCGAACTCTCGCACTTGGCGGAAGTCTGCACGATGCGCTTCGTGACTAGGCGTCTTCTTCACTCGGTGTTCGAGAGAAGCTTCTCAAAGAGTGAAACTGTGTAATCGAGCGACACTGCAACTCCTCATTCAGCGGCGACGACGCTGACCACCTTCTCGGAAAATAGACTTGGTCGGGTGCCTAATGATGCTTACTTAGGCAACTGCTTGCGATAGGTGACGACGGATGGTCGCGTTTTTGAGTTTCCCTATCATTCATCTGTCCTCGCTCTAAGACAGTCCGTTAGCCATGCGGTCGGTCACTCAGTCAGCTAGCCATTCTGTCTATCTGTGCCTCGTTCTGTCTTCTCGGATATCCCGAGCTCGGGGACCGGTGAGTCACTGGAAAAACGAATTGACCGAGACTGAAAGAGAGCGCGTAGGCCCAGAAGTCGTCCAAGTCAGAACTCTGCGATCGCAGTCGCGACCATCCTCGACGACAACAGCGATCATTCATTGGGACACGGGTGGTTTCTCTGCCGGTTCGCTGCTTCACCGAAGACAAATGAATTCGCCGGCCTGTTCCTCGAGCTAGGTACGCTGCGAAGCCGGATAGAGGATATCCATCCGTCTCACCGCGTCTTTCATGACCCGCGTGTTTCTTCGCGCGTCGGCCCGCGTGTCATTGAGTTGAGCATCGCGATTTCAGTTCGGCGAAATACCCGCGGGAAGGCCGCAGGATAATCTCCAGTTGGTACATCAGACGAGTGTCTGTTCTTTTCCGAGGGAAGGGTGAGAATTATTATTCTCGGACTTGGATTTCAGCTGCCGATATGCAGGAGCTGCCATGCCACCGGACAAATCGAGTTACGAAGCCTCGAACAAAGAAGCTCCAGATCTCGGCAGACCAGAGCGAACAAGTTTCCCTGCGGCCGTTCGCTTGGAGAGGCGGATCTTTCAGATCTCTCTAATAGATGGGTGGTCCGTGGATTTTTTGCGGTCGTTTGAAGTTAGGCGATTGATGCTTCTAAACTCACAACAAACACCAGAGCTTCGCACCCTGAACGACGAGGAGAGAGAATGAAGATCATCGGCGCGACACGACCAATCGAGCTCGGCGCTCGCTCACCTTGTCTGACATATTCAGCGCAGTGGGAGGTGGCGAAAGGAGTTTTGTATTTCGAGCTATCCGTCGTCTCGGGCAGCGGCATCATCATCTTTTCGCCTTTCTACTCCACCTCGATCACCGTCGTCGTCGTCGTCGTCGTCTGAGACTCTGAAGGCGTCGCCTAGGTGTGAGATGCTCGATATTTCTCTCTCGCTCTCTTATAATGTCCATCGTGCAGCGGTGCTCGAATCAGCTTGAAGCTCTGCACGCCGATTTGGTTGCTGCCTCGCTCGGCATTGATGGGGCTGGTGTGAAACAGTGGGAGGACCGAATCTCCGAACGAGAGATAGATGTGTCTGGGAGATGGGGTTCGCCAGCAAATTAGGGAATATGAGCTCGTCGATTCTGGTAGACACCCGTACAGTTCACTAACCATACAGCCACTCAAGCGAACCACGAGACAGCTCGGCAATCCAAGACGAAGCGATGACGTGGCAACAACACAGCACCGCTGGCTTCGACGACCGCCGACGCCACCCTCGGACCCGAGCCCAGGGTTGAGATACTGCAGACCGAGCCATCAGTGGTTTATCCCGACATTCCCCTCCTCCCGTCACGGAACTTTGAAATCTATCATGAGCAGACTCTGGCTCTGCGAGGAGGGCCGGCCTGTCATTGTGCCAACACATGGATCCTCGACAGGACAGAACTCACTCCGAACAGAGGAGAGGAATCATCCTCTCATCCTCGACTCGTCCGAGGAGAAGCATCATTCGCTCCTCACAAGGATTCAAAGAGAGATTACGGACGATGGATAGATAGATGCACGCGACCGAATTCACATATGATTCGCATTTCCGTCGCCAGCTGATTGACCGTCCGGACAGCTGATAGGTGAGTTCTAATCGCTATGGGCAATTCCAAGCAAAAAACGATCTGTTGATCCGAACCCGGGGTCTGGCGATCCGAGCGAAAGGATTTCCAAAGTCATCCGATGAAAAAAGATTGATTCCCTCGCTCAATTGAATTAAGACCGGGAAATCGAGCGTCGATCGCTCGGAGCTCCGCTGAGAGGCGTAATGAAATCTCTGTACAGGCATGCATGGGTCCGTCTTTCCGCTCGTCCGTCAGTTCGTGAGTTGTCGATCGGGTGCGTACTATATGCTCGGCACGGCAGAGAAGAGCAAAGCAATACCAGCTCCGCGGCCTCGTATTGAAAGAGTGGCGTCGCTGGAGGGCAGATAAATTCTCTCAAGTCGTAAATGTGCCGCGAGATTTGTGGCTCGTAAAACAGCATTTAGCCTCCGGCAAAAGGGAGGGAGGGAGGAGGCGGACGAATGAGCGAACGGACCGGCGGGCGGGTCGGCGGGCAAGCGAGCGACGACCTGGATACAACAAGCTCAAAAGGGAAAACCCTCACAAGGGCTAAACACCATCTAAACAGCGTCACTATCGCTTCGTGCCATTTATATTCGATCTTAATGTTGTTGCTTCCGCAGCGGCTGAGGCAACACGTTCGATCGGAGGCTCAAGATATATGAATTCGTTCTCGAACACACGCGTCGCTCCGCCGGGTGAATTGTTCGGGGCGAAAGTGCTTTTCGAACGCATTCATGGCCTCGTTGATTTCCTCTCGAGTTGGAGAGCCTCTGTACCGAGAATAGCGGGGCATCGATGCACGTGAGCGAAGGGTACAAATCATGGCGATTGATGCAGCTCCATCGATCCAGGTCCAGTTTCAGTCAGAACAGTCTTCCAGTTCCGGAATTCGCAAGCGAGATAGATTTGAACTAGAGAAGAGCTGCCAGGCGAGTCAGAAGTCCTTCGTGCAATCGTTTCGAGAGTGTACTCCGCGAATCCCTCCATTCGGCTATCGTCACGGACGTAACGAAAGGAACAAATTTGAAGGGCATGTGAAAAAGATTACGAGGGAGGAATCCAGAGGAAAGGAGAGAGAAAAACAAGTAATCGGAGGGAAAGACGGGAAACAAGGATAGAATTGGAGGAAATGGGGAATTCGGTAAGGGGGAGCCGGGAGAACGGAGGCAAAGTCCCACGGAGTCAGGAGAGCGACGCCGACGGCGCGACCCAGTGAACGGCCATAAAAGGGATTTTTAGCCGAAATTTATGTCTCTCTCTTGCTTTCCCATGGGGTGGAACAATCTCGGCAGTTCCATCGCCGCGCCTCGCACACAAACACACTTTCTCTGTTCTTGGTGGCCGCCTCGATCGCGGAGGCCATTTATGTCGTTTATGTGTCTCTCGCTTGTCATTGTTGTCTTTCTACAATTGTGTGCTCCCCCTTCCTCCATCCCATCTCCACGCTGCTCTCGCAGTTTGTTCTCTGCTCCGCCTGTTTTTTCTTTCTTAGTCTCACAACAATGTTTATCAAGGGGATCAAACGGCACCTCATGAAGTGGTCGCGCTCGTGTATGTTCTTCGTCGGTCGCGAGAGCA